ACTCAGTTCCCGTTTAACCTTCTGCATTACCTACCAGTCTTCTCCCCTCTCCATTTCTACAATCTTGCCCTTTATACCTCTTACAGAATTAATGAATAGTATTACATTAAGTTTATCATGTGAAATTGCCATCTTATTAGGACAGAACAGGCAAATATATCCACTATTTTGTATTGTAAAAATGTTACGTATTTCTATGCTAATGTGCAGTTTCCCATCTCAACCGTAGTAAGGGATCTGCACTGCCCTCTCTGTTTTCTCAGCGTCTGGCATGGAGGGTGGCATATGGTGTGTCCTGATTAGTGCTTGCTGAATGAATGAGCCCTGTTTGGCAAGCTTTTGTATGCTGCCTGTTCTGCCATGTTGTGTGCTCTAATGCAAAAGCAAAATCGAATCCAGCACTGTTGTAAAATATCTTACAAATTTGTATTCTAGCCAAGCCAGGCTTGAGATGTTTGTCCGTGCAGGTCAAGTGGGGCATGAAAACATCTGGGAACATGCAGGGGGTGAGGAAAGCAAATTGTTCAGAACAACTACCTTTCTGGCAGGAGAAGTAGAGTCAGCAGTTGATGGAGAAGAAGCAGCTGGATCAGGAGACGGAAGGCAAGAGGGAGGAGATGGAGGATGAGTATGAGACAGGCCTTTAGAGAGTTTATTCTGCACAGAACAGAAGTAGAAGAAACGAGGATTATCCTAGGAGTCACACATGGTGATAGACACCTCGATCATGCAGTCCCATGCCCGTGCATGCAACGGGGCAAAGAGAGGAGACCCATGTCTCAGGACAACACAGAAACCCCTGGCTTTGGAGCCAGGCAGGATTATCTGGCTCCTGGTTACACTGCATTCTGCTACAACTATTCCAGCTCCCTTGTCACACCAAAATAGCTCACACAGATTCAATCCATTCCTGCCTACATCTGCCTCGGACACCAACGCCAATTACCAAAGCCCTCACCCTGGAGCTTGGTATGAAGCAGCAGCTGCGAGCTTAGGAGAGGAGAGCCCTGGGCTGCTTCAGGGCAGGTGGCCACAGCAGGGGCCTCTGTGGCTGCAGCAGACAACTGCGCTAGCCTCCTAGCAGCCACGTGGAATCCTAAAAATCAAGTAAGTGTAAAGCATCCTTCCCACATCAGTGACTCCACCAAGTAGCAGAAGATGCAGGTCTGGAGGAGACGAAGTGAAAACAGTGGAGAGCCAAGTTCTAGCACCAGGCATGCTGCGAGGGAGGGAGGACTTCACACATACACCCACCTGCAGGATCTCATCATCCACTCTTTCACCTCCTCTCCAGCACACGCTCTTCTTTTCAGCGAATTTCCAAAGAAGTACCTGGCTTGAGGAGGCTGTACCTCCTAATTCTAAGGCAAAGCCATTCTTGTTGGCTTGACTTTACCCCACGGGGAAGCAGAGCCCCGGTTACAGCATGTGCTTGGCCTCATCCTTCAGTATCTTCCTGATCAGGGCCACAGGGAGATTTCTCTCACACCCCAAAACATCACAGGCAACTGGGTCAAGGCACTGTGATTCTGCAACTTATGACTGTTTCCTGTTTGTGGTGACCCTGAGGAAACTCAGAGCCTGCGTGGAAAATATCTGGGGCCTACCAACTTGTGCTTCTGTTTAGAAATGTCTTTCTTGACCTGAGTTTACTTTCCTGCCTTAGTTTTGCCTTATTTTGAATCTGCACATTTGGGTCTTTTTTAGATGCCAGCTTGAATTATTTAGTGGCTTGAAAAATGAATAGCTCCTCATGCTACAAAAGCAGGAGGAAGGAGAAAATTGAGCTCAGAGCCCGATTCAAGGTCACCTGGTGGATGTCCAACATCTGGGTTCCTGGGGGCTCTGAAAGCCCCATGTTTACCTGCGGGAAATCCCCGTGTCCAAACATGGAGGCAAGGTGGGCCGCCTTCTCCTTAATGTTCTTTGTGTGAAATTCCCTGTTGGCCAAGTTCTGAGCCCTCTTCTGCAGTGAAGGTGAGAGAGGAGAAAGAAAAGAGAAATAGTGACAGAGACTGAGACAGTTGCTTCCAAGAAGTGGGTGAGGAAGGCAGCCGGGGCCTCACCAGCTCACCACACACAGCAGGACGGGAGGCAGGGGGCGGGCAGACGGAGGAGGAACCCACGTGGGCAGGAGGAGGGAGGGGAAGAGAAGTCGCCCAGACACAGACAGAGACAGGGCAAAAAGTGAGTCTTTCACCTGGAGAATCTTTTCCTCCACTTGCTGCAGCCGCGACAGCACCCCGGAAAGAGCCTGTGCCCTCGGGCGGGTAGGAGGCAGGGTAGCAAAATTTTCTGTACCCCCCAGCTGTAGGTCAGACTTGGCTCTGGCTCTCCAGGGCCTGCTCAGGCACTCGTTGCCAGCAGACACTTGCTTGAGCTCTCTGAGCACGTGCCCCGTCACAACCACAGAGGGGAACTGGGAAAGAGGGAAAATTAAGCTTCCTTCCCTACTGCAGCCCTTTCATACACCCCCACCATGAGGCATCCCCTGTGAAGGATATTGCCCAGAGACAAAGGGCGCACCAGGTGCAACCCTAAGTAGGATTCCAAACTACCCCCAGGAATTGATTCTCTACCTGCATCAAAATTGCCTGGCATCCTCATTCACAATACATGGTCTGAAGCCTCGCCCTAGGCCTCCTGAATCAAAACCTGTATAATGCCGTTTCTCAGTCCTAGCTGCATACTGGCATTATGGGTACTTAAGAAAAAATGACCCAAGTCTGGGCCCAACCCCCAGAGATTCTGATTGCATTGTTCTGGACTGGGCATGAGTCAATGGCAGTGTTTAAAAAGCTCCCCAGGTGAGGCACACAGACATAAAATTTCTGCATTGTATCCACACTGACCTTATTCAACCTCCACCACCTGGAGGCAACACACAAATCCTAATGCTAACCAGAAACCTTTGCGGCTTATGGCCAATAGTAGTGATTCTGCTCAGATTCCAAACCCAGGAGCAGGACCTGGCATAAGCCATACTCCGTGACTGCCAGCGCCCTCCTGCCCACTATGCAGGTCTACTCTGGTACCGGGAAGGCCTCGCCACATCCCAGCCTTACCTCTTCAATGCATCCAGCCAAGTGGCCACCTGGGCCCATTTCAACATCACTTTTTCATTGATTTGGAAATCAGCCTATTCGAATGGTCTGCAGATAATGCTCAGTGTCACGGGGCACCATACAAAATACCTTGTGGTACAGTTTATTTTTCCCTAGCAGCACCATGGCGACCGTGGTATTTGGTCAGCTGATACTTCTGACTGGCTAAGGGATCCATGAAATGTATTTTGTGATGCTGCATACTTGGTTATTCTTACCTATGAGGGTGGCGACCTCAAGGTGTGTCCAGAGAATCGACAATCAGCCATACCTGGGGTGTGGGAAGAGCCACTGACCCCACCCCTCTGGATCAAAGTCCCCTCTGCCCTTTAACAGAACAGCATCCACTGAAAGGAGCCCTACCTGCCTTTTCAGTGGAGGAGACGGGCTGGGTGTGGCCTCCTCTGGCTTGGGGCAGCAAGACTGAACAGGAGGGCCGGAGGAAGAGCACAGGACGGGCTTACCTATCCCTGAGACACGGCGTTCCTGGGAGGAGAAAGGCGAGTCCAAAAAAGCAGCCGCAGGAGACAGTGAAGGAAAAGGTGAATCAGATTGAGAGGCTCAGAGGGAGGAGACAGAGGAGCAGGGAGACGAAGTTTGCAAGTGCAGAGACAGCACTGGGCTAAGCTCCTGCAAGCCAGGCCCAGCTGGGAAACTTGAGCCCTGGCTCCCTGTCCATGTGAACAGTGAGTCCTGGAGTCCCCTTCTCGTGGACAAAGTGTGAATCCCAGGGTGGCTATGCTTTTGGCTCAGACATAGGCCCTTAAGCAGGCACTGCTGGAGCCCATGCCAGGGCAGGGTGGCTGGCTCAGGAGTCCACCTGGAAATGGAAAAGCTTCCTGCCCACTCAATGACAGGGATGCTCTGGTGCTTTTGATGGAATTGAGCCCTCATCAACACTTGGGGACTGTGAGGGGCAAAGCCTCCAGACCAGGCATCCAGAAAATTTGTTTAATAAATTATAATAAAATCCTTTCACTTCCTGGAGAAGGTCAGTTTGCCCAGGAGACACACAGTCCACAACGAGACTAAGGAGACATCTCTGGTTGCCTCTCAAGCTATGAACTAAGAGTCTGTCCTCCCAAAAGGAGCCTCATTCTGTCATGTGACAGGTGTTCACCATAAAAAAACCAACCTCTTTTCCCAAGCTTCTGTAATGTGACAAGAGCATCCTAAAAGAAGTTCAGGGGAGCAAACCGAACCACGAGGCGCACACCTCAGAGCTGGAATCAGGAGGAAGCCTGCAGCCTGACACAGCATCCAGCCTCCTCCAGCCTCAGACTAACCCCCATCAGGCACAACAGCCCGCCAGGCTGCCCCAGTGCAGGGAGAGAGGAGAGTGCCAGGAAACACGTGTGAGGCTGGCCTTCCATACTGTGAGCTCAGACTCAGTTCCTCTGGTTTGGATGGATCTTCTCAGTGTGGACTTTGTACTTTCCCAGACAGCCAGCCTCTCAAAGCTCCCTCAAACTGTATCATCTCAAAACTGGCTGCAAACCAAGTCATGGTTGGAAAGCAAAACCAAATTAGGGAACAGATTTCTTTAATGCACAACAAGCACAAGCAAACTAGGCCCATGAGCCACATCTGGCCTGCTCCTGTTTTTTGTAAATAAAGTTTTATTGGAACACAGACAGGCTCATTTGTTTGGGTATGTCTGCCGCTGCTTTCATACTACAATGGCAGGGTTGTAACAGAGACAGTATGGCTTCCAAAGCACTAAAAAACTGCTATCTGGCCTCTTATAGAAAAGTCTGTTGACTCCTGATCTAGAAGGCCCTCAGGTCTCCTTGGGACCAGGCCTGACTGGCATATCTGAAGTCTAGCAGTAGCCAGAACATTCCTGCCAAAAAGTCACCAGGAAGTCAGGTCCAGTGAGTATTTGACATGACTCACCTGCTTCATGAGTGAGGGGTTCCGAGTGCTCTCCTCAAACTTGGCCAGCAGCTGATTTGCCATGGACTTGACTTTGTTCTGATTTCCACCTTCTTTACTGCTCCCACACTCTTGACTGGAGCCCAAGCTACGGCTGGAAAAGTTGGAAGGCTGCAAAGGTTGAAACGGGACACTGATGGTTACCGGACATCAGAAAGCAGACTTGGGGACTCAGGACGTGGAACTAGTTTCCTGCAGAAGGGCTCCCTCCGAGGTCCTGAGGAAGGGAGGCAGAGCCCTGCAGAGGCAACACTCACAGGAGGGATACGTCTTTCCAAAGGATGGGCACAGCTAGGCTTGGGAGCCAGACAGCTGGGGTCTGAATCCCAACCTTCATTTCTTAGCCCTGTGACACTGGCGATTTACTTGACTTCTCTGACATTATTTCATGTATAAAATGAGAACAGCAATCTACTTCGCATGATTACTGCAAAAACCAAACATAATCATGAAGTTTTGAACAAAGTGGTTTTCAAAAATACATCATCTGGCTGAGAAGAGGAGAAGAGTGGGGGTAGGGGAGCAATGAGGGAGTCAGTAGGGGGTCACTCAGGCAAGGCCTGGGCTCCAGGGTCTTTCTCCTCTCTCCTCTGTACCCCACCCCCAGCTTTAGCCAGCCCTGTTCTATTTTTGCTATCTTTTAAAAGAAAGCTTTTAATTTAGAAATAGTTTCAGATTTACACAAAAGTTGCAAAGATAGCACAGATTGTCCCTGCATACCCTTCACCCAGCTGCCAGCAGTGTTAAATCTGGAATAATTGCTCCTGTCATCAAAATTGAGAAATTAACACTGGCACAATACTATTAACTAAATTATAGCCTTTATTTGGATTGCATCAGTTTTTCCACTCATATCCTTTCTCTGTCCCAGGATTCAATCCAGGATCCCACGCTGCATTTCATCATCCGGTCTCCTTGGTTTCCTACAAACTGTAACAGCTTCTGTAACAGACTGACACTCTGTGAAGGGTACTGAGCCGCTGTTTCATAGAGCCCCTCAGTCTGGGTTGGTCTGACGTTCTCTCATGATTAGACTTTGGGAAAGGACACTGCCGAGGTGAAATGCTCTTCTCATGCCAGTACAGCGGGGCACATGATATCAACATGACTTACAAGTGGTGATGTAGACCTTGATCATTTGGTTACGCTAGTTTATAAAACAGAGTTCCATACAAGATTTCTCTAGCTCATCTGCTAACAGTAAACAATTGAAGATGACCAGTGTTTACTTAAGAGGCTCTGTTCCTCCTTACTGCAGGATCTCCTCCCACAGGCCTTGGAAGTATAAATGGTGCTGCCACAGCAGGTGGGCAGTCGGTTTTCTCAGGGACACCAGGCGTGTCCCTCACAGGAAGAGGCAAGTTGTAGTTAATTTTTAAAAAAAGATCCTGGGCGCGGTGGCTCAAGCCTGTAATCCCAGCACTTTGGGAGGCCGAGGCGGGTGGATCACGAGGTCGAGAGATTGAGACCATCCTGGTCAACATAGTGAAACCCCGTCTCTACTAAAGATACAAAAAATTAGCTGGGCATGGTGGCACATGCCTGTAATCCCAGCTACTCAGGAGGCTGAGGCAGGAGAATTGCTTGAACCCAGCAGGCGAAGGTTGCGGTGAGCCGAGATCGTGCCATTGCACTCCAGCCTGGGTAACAAGAGCGAAACTCCGTCTCAAAAACAAAAGATCCCTAGGTGTGGCAGCCCCATGGGAAACCTAGTATATAGAGCCACTCTGAGTGTTTTGGACAAACGCACACCAGAGAGGCACACGCTCCTTCAGAACGCGGTGTAACTGTATACCACAGCACAGGCTTGAGTGAGAAGAGGGTGTGTTTACTTGGGCAGTCACTGTTTGTTCAACACCAAAGTTAGGCAGGACAGTGGGCCACATAGGCCAGCACTTTCAGACATGAATGGGCCCATGAATCATCTGGAAATCAATCCTCAAAAGCAGATTTGATTTCTGTAGGTCTGGGGTGGGCCCTGAAAACCTGTATGTCTAACAAGTACCCAGCTGCTGCTGCTGGATCTTGGATCACATTTTGAGCAGCAAGAATTTAGAAAGAATACTGCTTTGTTAAAACTGACTTTAAACAAAACAGTCGCCCCAGGAGACTGTCCAGGGCATCTCAGAAAGTGTAGACACAAACCAGATTTCTTCCCACTCTAGCTCCTGTGTTGCCAGTAACAGAAACAACACTCACATCCCTTAAACAAGCCATGGGTGAAAGGCAGGAAGAGACTTCTGCCTGAGACAAAGTGTACCCAAGGGCAGCTTCTTGGGAACAGGCAGGAGCAAATCCCAGGCCCTGAAGGTGGAGAGCCAACACCTGTAACCTGGGAAATGGAACATGTCTCTAGCCTTGTGCAGCCTCTGTTTCCTCTCTGCGTCTCTATTTGCTGGCTTCTTGCTTACACCACAGCCAAGAGGTGGGGAGGCAACAGTGCTTGAAGGAAGCACCTTCAAGAGCTCTAGGAAAATGTTCAGGCCAGGGTGTTTTGAACTCACTGGGTAAAATGGGTTTCTTCACATTTTAAGATATGAACTGAACTGGTTTTTCTTCATCAGCACTGCCCTTTGACCATCCCGGATAACGAGTGGAATGGCTGGCTGCTGCTTTCCCCAAGGTGAACCTCACGGCTCTACTTCTTATAGTGCTGCTCACTGTTGTGGGATACGGCAAATCAGACACGAGCAACCATACCATGAAAATATACAGCAATAAAACTCTTCAACCACATGCGATAGAAAAAGTCCCTTCTACCTCAGGAATCAATGTATTATGCAGATCGTCCTGCATGCCTCTCAGTCATTTCCGGGTCAGCCAGCAGGCTAGCCGAGGTTCGCATCCTACACTTTGCTGATGATATGCATGTCTGTGGAGTTAGAATGGCTTTGTTTGAATGAAGTATATATCTCAGGTGTCTTTTAAAAGCTGCCCAGGGAAGCAAGAACTGATACTCTTTTTCTGCTTGATCAATTTTTCAGAAGCAGGGGAGAGATTCAAGCTCTCCTTTGACAAACTAACCTGTAATCTTCTCTTTTCACCAGAAGGTGGCACTTGTGGGCACCAGGACATTTGCCTTAAAGGCTAAAAGCAAAGGAATACAAAGGATGATTGGGAGAAAGTGGGAGTGCTGACTCGTCTTACTATTTCCTATTAGTAGTGACTGTGTATTGATTAACACGTGTCAGATACCATGTTCACCTTATTCATCTTTAAAAGTCCTGCAAAGTTTCATGCGTTTCAAGTGTGTCATTGCATGCTACAGACATGAACCACATCCTGGGAGGTTGTTTCTCCAGGTTACATAGCTAGTAAGTAGTGAAGCGAGATCCAAAACCCCAACTGTTTTCCCACTACGCCAAGCCTGGAGCCCAGTGGTTCATGACAGAGGGAAGGGGCAGGGCCAGGCTGCTGCCACAGGGAGGCCGCCCGTGGCCACTGGTTGTCAGGAAATCTGCCTCTGTTTAAACCCACACTGTGTACACAAACCTCGTCGAGGTTGTTGAAGCCCTTCCGCCTCCGTTTGTTCATGTCGTTCTCTCCGGTTTGACCATCCACCTGCAATGGCCAAGAAAGCAGAGTGAGCTCAGGGGGCCAGCGAGGGCTTCAGTCCCACTAAAACCCCTGAGGGCACAGGGCTGGCTTTGAGCTGGCGCTGCAGATATGTCCCTGTCTGCAAACAGCTGTCAGCCTACAGGCAGGCGTGGTAGTAAATTACCCTGCACTGTGACAAATGCTGTCACAGAGGTTTGTTCAGGCACAGTGGAAAGAACCTCACTCCATTTAGAGAGCCAAGGCTTCCGTCAGAAGGGGCAGGAATCACATCCCCAAAGATCGTCATGAAACATCAAAGCAAAAAAGGATCCCGGTAACATAGGCAGGGCCAGGATGATCTCCATTGCAATGTGGCCCTTGGGCTTGGAGCAGTTTAATGGAGTGCCCAAGGCCACAGCCAGGCCTACTGATGCCCTCAGTGTGCCGCCTAATGGAGCCCACCAGGGGTCTCTCTGCAACCAGGGAGCCTCTCTCCTACAAGGAGGCCATCTGGTTCACCTCACACGGACTCTGAGGACTCAAATGAGCTGCCCAGGGATTTGATGGCAAATTAAGCCTGCAATTTGGTCACCATCACAGATACTAGTAAACAATATTTTATTAACTTCAAATAAGCCTTAACTATAGCCTGATGACTGGCATGACCACACAGCCTAGTCTGCTGGAGGTGTGTGGGGGTAGTTCTGATTTACTGCTTTTTCCCCCTATCTGATTGTTAACAGTGCCCTCTTCACTCCCAGAAGTCTCCTGGTTTAGATGATACATGACGCGATTGCCCTATGAGAACCCCTCACAGCCCACTCTCTGCTGCATGAATCTGGACATTTAAGTCCGGAAAGCCCTGCTCTACCCAAGCCCATTGCGTCACCCTGCAAGGGCTCCCAAAGGGCACTCTGTCGTTGGGCATGTCTCCTTAGGGAAGGGGCAGAATTCTGGAGGCTGAGCTGATGCTATGGCTGGAGTGGGACTGACTGAATTTAGTACTCCTCTGCACCCCATGGGTAAGCCTACCCTTGACACTGGGCTAGGGTCCACCTAGGCTCCCCTATCCTTTCTGGGGTAAGACCTCTCTGCTACCACTCTCCAGCCACTGGGACCTTCTCCAAATGGCTAGCTCTCTCAGAACCAGGGAGCCATGTCCCACCGACCACAGATTGGGGTAGGGAGCATCCTACTCTCTCAGAGGGGCCCTCCATAGCAGGCCCACATTAAATCCTAGCTTTGCTACCATTTTGGATGCAGGGGGAAGTGCTACAGGCCACGTGCTCACCCCAAACCCAGGCGTACAGCCCAGTCAGCCTCATAAATCCTAATCTACTTAATCACAGGGGGATTCTTTCACCTCCTGGTTGTTCTGAAACAACAACAGCTACGGGCACCCCAACGCACAGCCCGGTACGCGCCCCTCCCTCCAACGGAAAGCACCTGCTTCCTCGTCTCTTGTCCTCTTCATGATCCCCTGCCCTCTCCCCACATTTGCCAGCACCAGTTTTCTTTTTGTTTGTTTGTCTTTAAAGACAAGATCAACCACAGTTTAGTCCATTGATATTTGTTCAAAAATTTGACCCAGGCAGCACAACACAACACATCAAAGGGCCCTGCCTTCTCTTGAACATTTTCCTCAGCTTCTAATAAATCATTATTCTGTGAATGGAAATGATTTCAGGCCAAAAGCTTGGGCAAACACCAAGAGAAACAGATGACCTTATTTGCAACAATGTTGGTTCTTAGAGGAACAGGCTGTCTGGACCCCCAGCTCTGCAGCCTGAGAATGCTGCTCTGGCCAGCCCCAAACTGGGGCCTGTGAAGGTACAGAATGTCCTACCCAACAAGAACGCTTCACGCATAATCTTGGGGGTTTCTGGTTTTTTTTGTTTGTTTTTTGGTTTTTGGTTTCTACCTTAAATGAGGATTTGACTTTTCCTCCAAAGAGCAAAACATTTTCTCTCTTTTGTACTCAACAGCCCAGAGTGGAACTGTTTCCCTGGAGCCTATACAGATCAAAGACAGCATTATGAGCCAAGGGCTTATGAAAGGTGTTCCTGGGAGACCATGCCCAGCCAGCAGTCCCTGAGAAGACTCCAAATCCTTCATGGGGAATAAAGGACAAGGACAGAGACAACCTCAGCCCCTCTGACCCACCCTGAGCCACGGGTCAACCAAATGTAGTCTATACGGAAAGGTTAGCAACACACATACCCAGGTGGTTTCTACTTTTCCCTATGAATTTAACATTGAAGCACTGATTCTCAACTAAGAGCCAGGCTAAAGCAAAAAGGTTAACAACGTTCCAACCTAGAGATTTATCTAATTTTTTCTTATCTGTATATCTGTACTTGGGAACCAAAATTGCTTCAGTATTCCCTCATCCTTGGACCCTATTTTACTCTACAAAGAATTGAAAGTACAAGAAGAAAGAAAATACTTACTGTGCCCAAAGAGAACATGAGAAGAAATAACGTAGGTTCTTTTCCTATTAATGTTTCCAGCTGTTCCGCCCTAAGAATACTTTTTTATCATGATTGCCCAATCATTTGAAAGAGTCTATATACCAAAAGGCATTTATTAAACTAATTGGTTTCCCCATTAAAAAAAAATCAAAGATCTGCCAATCTGAACATTTATTTGATCAGCACAAGATAACATGTTCCTATACTGCCTGAGTTAATGTGATTTTAGCTCAAAGCAAACAAACTTTATATTTGGTTAGCTGGTATAGCCTAGCCCAGGAATAATTTAGAGATGGGTCATAGGAAGAGAGGTTGGCCATTGCAGGCTATGGCCTTGTTGGTTTGGGCAGCAGCTATGACATTTAGAAAGATCGCCAGTGACACCAGCAAGAGCGTGCTTTCTTCAAGGAATCATGGATTTGAGTGCTGGTACTAATTATTTCCCAGCTGTGGGATCTCAGGAAAATCATCCAACTACTTTGACTTCAGTTTCCTTAACTATAAGAGATCTTACATTCTTTAGTTCATAAGGTGCTGTGAGAGTAATGAAATCACAGATGTAAAACACTTCTGTAAAGTGTTAGATAGTGGTCTTCCCTCATCCATGGCAGATACATTCCAAGGCCCCCAGTGGAAGCTGGAAACTATGAATAGTGCCAAACCATGTTACTAGATCAAGAAAACATACATCAGTTACTAGATCAAAAAGCTGAGATGGCTAAGGTAACTAATATTGGGTGGGTAGCGTATACACCGTGAATATACTGGACAAAGGGATGATTCACATTCCAGGCAGGATGGAGTGGGAAGGTGTGAGATTTCATCATGCTACTCAGAATGGTGCGCAATCTAAACTGTGCATTGTTTCTGGAATTTTCCTTTTAATATTTTTAGACCGTGAGTGAATACAGGTCACTGAAATCTTGGAAAGCAAAACCGCAGATATGGTGGGGACTACGGTACAAGTGTTAGACACTATTAGTGAGGCTAGTGTCCGTAACAGACTTCTATTTTATTTTATTTATTCTTTTTGGGGACAGGGTCTTGCGGTGTTGTCCAGGCTGGAGTGCAGTGGTGTGATCTCAGCTCACTGCAACCTCTACCTCCTGGGTTTAAGTGATTCTCGTGCCTCAGCCTCCCAAGAAGCTAGGAGGGTGTACCACCACACAGGCTAGTTTTTGTATTTTAGTAGAAACAGGGTTTCACCTTGTTGGCCAGGCTGGTCTTGAACTTCTGGCCTCAAGCAATCCACCCACCTCACCCTCCCAAAGTTCTGGGATTACAGGCATGAGACCCCATGCTTGGCAGAGTAACAGAAGTTTAAACATCTGAATTCTACTTCTGGCTTTGACATTTACCACCTACATGACTTATCAAAATGTAATCTCTCCAAGTCCAAGTTTCCCTGTCTAAAAACTGGCATGAAAATGTGTTCCCAGCCTTGCTCCAAAGGTGACATGAGGAGCAAATGAGATGTATATGAAAGTGTTTGGTATGCTGTAAAGAGCTGTATTGATTGTGGTGGCAGTACAGAACCAAGTGTTCAAGCCAGATAGTTTTACTCATCTTTTGAGAAAACAAGCATCTTCATTTAATCATCATTTTAAAGGAAGAGAACTATCATTTATTGAGCCCCTTCCACCTCCCAGACATGGTGCTCAGACCTGCTACATGCATTTGCCCACCTCATCTTTGCAGCAATGCTACGATGTGTATGTTGTTACCCTCATTTCTCAGGCAAGCAAAGGAGTCTTCTGAGAGGCTAGAGCATTTGCCAGATCCCCAGAGACCTAACTATGTGTTTGTCTGCCTGACTTCTAACTGCATTCCCAATCTGTAAACCGGCTCTGAGTCCTGGACTGAGATTGCACAGAGGAAAGGAGAGAGCACAGCTTCAGTCGTGACCTGCCGGCGCCTGGAGGGGCTGCTCCAGGACCCTGTGCTTGCCTCGGCCTTGGAAGACAGCACTCTTAACTCTCCTAAGCCTTCTTCAAACCTCTGCAATGAGAAGTCCTAGAAACCTAGTGGGGAGCTTTGGCTGCTGGGTGGGTGGTTCTGTGAGAGAAGTTGGGGAGGGGGGGGGTGAGAGAAAGTTTGTAAGTCCCACCGGAAGGCAGGCTGCCTAGGCAGGGTCCTTGCTTGCTTCATTCACTGCTCCATGCCCAGTACTATGGAGAACTCCACATAAAGCAGGCACGCAATAAACAGTTGTTGAATGAGTGGATGGAAGAGGCACTTGCAGACATAATGCCACCAGGCTCTTCAGAAACTGTGCAGGTGGGTCAGGAAGAGGAAGGTTGGAGAGGGGGACCTGGCCCACCCAGACCAGACACTGACAAAAACGTCAGTCACATTTTGTGAATGCCACTCCGTCAGGAACCAGTGCTGGAGGAGGAGGACCGGCTGAGCAGGATCAAACCTGGGGCCACTTATCTGGCTTCTGGGATGACTTCTGCAGGGACAAGTGACAACTTTTGTTTTATCCCCCAAGGAGTGGGCTCAAAATGGAACAAAAATGAGTGTCTTGCATATGTGTACAGTAATGACTGTAGTGGCCGTAAGTACAGATGTCACCATGAGTGGTAGGTCTAGGAGAGTACTGGCAGGTACTGTGAGTCTGAGTGTGTACGCCTGTGTGTGTGCCCGTGTACACAGGGATGGCAGAGGCCACGGTTGTATGTTCAGGTGTCACCGGCATGCATGATGACAAGAGCCCTGGAGCCCCCAGGAACTGTCCCATGCCATGAGGTTTTTAGATGCTCCCCAGGACCACAGACAGAGCTGCAGAAGCAGACCAAGGGCCTCGTAAGAGGCAAATATAATCCCCAAGCCCTCCCTTCTCCAGGTGTGGGCCCCCCAGTCTTCAGAACTAATCAGCCCAACCGGTGACCACTCATGGTGCGATGGAAAAGTCACTGTCTCTAAAAGTAAACAAGATCCTTGATGCAGGAAAAAGCCTTTCATTCTGCTTGAAGTTGATACACCTTGTGGGATTGCACATTGTCAGGAGGGTAAGATTAGGGAGGAAAGAAGAAACATTGTCAGTGAAAACCAGGAGGGAGATTCTTAAGCCTGACTCAGCAGAGAACCAGTGGATCCCCTTCAGATGAAGATGCCACATTGTAAACACATGTGCACTCACAGCTCAATTCCCACATCAAGATATTCCTCTGAAGATGGAGAGGAAGTTAGAGAGGGGTAGGGAGGAAGGTCAGATACAGATATCCACAGGTACAGATATTGCCTGTGTTTGCAGGGAGGGCTATGGTATAGACTCATGCAAGCAAAGCCTGGCCTGTATCTCCACTCCTGAAGGGCTGATTAGCAAGGTCATTGAGGGTGGCATGTTTTGTTGTACTGACATCTTGGTGTAAATGTGAGGGAGCCTCTATGCACAGATGTGGATGTGTGAATGTAATTCAGAGTCTTATGTGCAGACATCTCCTGTGGCTCTGCAGGACCAGACCAGGGTGGGCTCAGCACTCTTTGCTAGTGGAAAATGCTGAGGCCAAAGAGCATTGCCATTAGGTTCCCCGCATCAAAAAAGCATTCAGATACAGCAAGGTGTCTGGTAGGATGGGAAGAAGGTACTTTCCACGTGCCCTGATCATCGTGCTGGCATTGAGCGGTGGACAAAACAAGAGAAGAACAAATACAATGCCCATGCCAGGCACTTAACTCAATGGCCAAATCTCTCCACCTATCCAAAGATGGGGCAGAGTGCAGAGATTAAATGAGGCTGTGGGAGAGAACAGCTCTGTGGGCCTTGACTGTTCTCAAAGTGGGCAGCCAAGGGAAACACCCTGAAGATTCAACAGGGTCCAAAAGGGGCCAGGATTGGCCAGCAGAGCCCTCCACCACAAGCAGTTTCTAGCAGAGCCAGAGGGAAGCGGAGTGAGGCCCTCAGCCCTCGGAAGGCCTGGCTGGCCTTGCTGATTCCTGACTTCTCACCGTCCCCACCTCCTGAGCTGGTGCTGGCCAGGCTGTTTCAATGCCGTCACTCTGTCAACAGAGGTGTGATGAGAGAAAGGTTGAAACATCCTTCTCCAGTTCCCTCTGTGGGCCAAGCGGGAGAAACACAGTGTACGGGGAAAGGCAGTCAATGCCTGGTGTAGAGAGCTTCCAGAAACTCCAACCGGCTTGTCTGGGGCAAAACAGCCTAAGACAGGGGTCCTTGGGCTGCAGGTAGAACAAGCTAACCACTGGTATCCAGAAGAGAGCACCATTCACTCAATGAGAACAAGGTGGGCAAGGCAGCCCCCACACAGAGCCTCTGGGTTGGGCCAGCTCAGGGCGGGGAGCGGCTGGGTACAGCTCATCATTTTAACTGCTCTGTTGCCACCTTCCTCGCCCAGCTGCAGCCTTGCTAGCCCGTTCCTTCCTAGAGCTAGGGAGCGGCAGAAGCATGAAGCATCCTGCTCCTGGAGTTAGCGAAACAGCTGCTGCAATGTCCCAGGGAGCAGGGAGTGCAGGCCTCAGTGGAAAAAGTGACCACTGCTCACAGCCCAGAGAAAGAAAGGAGGCTGGGCGGCCCCACCCTAGGGTGGAGGGGCTGGCCGGATATGGCTGTCTTGGCCAAGCTTAAAGAGACTGTTGGCCACCTAGAGAGACTCGGAAACTTGCAGAGGCCTCCAGCCCACTGTCCTGTTGGTGTAGGGCACCCTGCCATCCTGGGGAGGACAGGCCAGCTCTGGGCAGGGACTTACAACTGCCCCCACCCCAAACCACCCCTGCTCCCACCAGTGGCCTCACTCTGGTCCTATTCTCCTCCATCCATCTTCTCTCCTCTGCTCCCACTGACCACCCAGGGACTCCCTACTCCAGTCCTAGAACTCTGACATTTGCCATCTGCCCCAGCGCATCCACATCCCATAGGCTGTCCTCAGCCCTCACCCTGGCTGGCCTCCCTGTTGCCTAGCTCCGTCTCCAGGGCCCATCGCGCTCTCCTCCCGGGGCTTCCCGACTCCATCCCTGCCTTTCCAACTGTCCTTTCCCCTTCCCATCTTCTTTCCTGGCTGCTCTGCCTCTGCCAGCCCCTTAAACTCTCTTGTTCCCCAAGGTCTAGACCCCTGGTTCTCAGTTTTTTCCCTCTTTTCCCAGCGTCTATTTTCCCAACTGGATTCCAGGGTCAAGCTGCACATCACTTCTGCATGGATATATAACAAATGCTTTTTAGTGAGTGGACTAATTAGTGTGAAAAAACCCTGGGGTAGGGGCAAAGCAATGAAGTACAACAGAGTAGCAGGTGACCTGCCCAAGGCACCCAGCCTCTCTAGGTCTCCATTTTTTTTTTTTTTTTGAGGCGGAGTTTTGCTCTTGTTGACCAGGCAGGAGTGCAATGGCACTATCTCGGCTCACTGCAACCTCTGCCTCCTGAGTTCAAGTGATTCTCCTGCCTCAGCCTCCCAAGTAGCTGGGATTACAGGCACCTGACCCCTATAGGAGAGCCCAATATATATTATTTGTTGAATTCATGGAATGAATGAATTTCAGGAATAAATACAAGTTACTGGAAGAGATGGGTGGGCAGAGCATGAGCACCATGCATTTCTGCCACTAAACTGATGGCCATCACGTTCCGGATCTAAACTGCTCCACACAGCGAGAAATCATTCCACCCCCCCCATGTCTCAGGAAGCAGAGCTGATCTGATTTGCTTCTAAAAACATTCACCAATATATCCTATCCACTCATGATCATGTCCTTCCTACAACCACTTTGAAGTCATTGAACTAGCTACACCGTACGAGGAAGAACTTCGAAAATACTCGGTCACTAATCTGAGCTTTACCAGTATCTTCCGGGAGCGCCTGGTCCATGTAACTTACTAGCATCAACAGACTGAGAATGTGATATTCTCCGCTCCTCATACCCTGTCCATGTGCAATGGGAAATACAACAAAAGCCAAGCCAAAACTTACTCGTGGAGTCCTCTTCCTTGGAAATGTGAGGTTGAGATAGTTATTAGAAATGGATGATTTGGCCAAGCTCAGGTCAGCATTTTCTCCATAGTTTTTGCGCCAAGAATCTGTTGGGAAATAAAAGCACAACTGCCATTTGGATCCTGACTCCTGGAAGTGTGGCTATAACAAGGAGGTGCCATTGTAACCAGGTCCCTCTAGAATAATTCACTTACCCCAAACTCAAGATGTAAATGACATACAGATCCACTTTATGCACACAGGGGCTGAGTGAGTGAAGTCACCCCCGTTCGGCCTCAAAGTCAAGGGGAAGGTATTGGGCAGCCCCAGAACAGACCATCCCAGTTTTAGGAGCAGCCAGACTCAGTGACAGGGACAGAGACGGCTCAAAGGGCCAAGCAACATCTCTGTGCAGGTGCTTACCCACGGGCCTCAGCGGCGTGCCCCGGAAGAGTTCGTAGAACTTGGAGAGGTACATGACCATGCTGAGCTTGTCAGGTTCCTGGGCAGATGCCATCTCTTTGCCCGTGGTCACTGGAGGGATCCCAAACTCTCGCTCGGCCACATCAAATGCGAGCTGGTTGTTCTCCACAGCATTGTCTTCATTCAAAGAGTCAAAGTTGCTAGAGAATCAAAACAAAGTAGAGAAATTCAGGGAGAGGAGGCAGAGGTGGGGTGCACTGAGCACCTCCAGCTGGTAAGGAGCACTGAGGGTGACACTCTGCCACATGTCGGCGGGCTGCGGGGAAGGAACAGTAACCCCCAACCCCTACTCCGAGTTCTCACCCCACCACCCCACTGGTCATGAAGCGACAAAATCAGACTCGGGCCACGATGACATAATTGCCGCCTGGGCTAAAACCATCAGAAAATGATTTAAACCTCTTGGGAAAATTCATGAGCTGTTTTACTTTTAAATATCTTTCTTTTTTTCAATTACAGAAGTAAAATGGGCATCTTGTAAAAAAAAAATCAAGTTATATAGCATATAAAATTAAAAGGGAGCCCACGTGCAGTGGCTCAAGCCTGTAATCCCAGCACTTTGGGAGGCCCAGGCAGGCAGATCACTTGAGCTCAGGAGTTCGACACCAGGCTGGCCAACATGGCAAAACCCTGTTTCTACTAAAAATACAAAAATTAGCTGGGTGTGGTGGTGGGCACCTGTAATCCCAGCTACTCGGGAGGCTGACACAGGATAATCACTTGAACCTAGGAGGTGGAAGTTGCCATGAGCTGAGATCTGGTCACTGCATTCCAGCCTGGGCAACAGAGCAAGAGATTCCATCTTAAAAAAAAAAAAAAAAAAAAAAAAAGAGGCGAGTCCATCCTCTTAAGGCAGCCTTGCTTCCTAAGGTACCAAATGATAGCCCTTGGGTAGGTTTCCTTCCAGCCTATTGTGGTAGATTTGCACCTGGTCGTGAAGTTATGCTGCTGCTGATTTACATACAGATGCATCAAGCTTTGGCAACACAGTGTTTCCTCAAACATAACCTGATCTCCCCAATGCCCCTGCTGTTTTTTCTAATTTGCCGATGAAGAATCTAAAGCTCAGAGAAGGTAAGTGGCTTGCCCAAGGACACACAGCTTGTGGATCTGGATTTCAAAACTAATTCTGTAAAACTCTCAAACTAGTCCCTGGAATTATGGGACTAGTCTGGCCCATAACTCCTCTCTTGAGGGTGGAGCTCCAATGTGTGAATGCTCAAATTTCCGAAGAGTGTGGTAGTGGGGGGGCAGGGGGAAGCCAGTAACAGTGCAATCACTAAGCCTGAGCCAATTTTTATTCTCACGTATTAGGAACACAGATCAATCAGTGCAAAGGGAAAAGAACAAATGTAAGAAAAAATTCAAATTGAAGCACAAAAAGAGAAATATTGAACCATGTAATGGAGATTCTGCACGCAGCAGAATGGCCTTGGCATCCCTGTCTCCAGGGGCCAGCCTGGGCCCCAGACTCACATGAGCTCAGGCCGGAAGCGGTGGATGATGGCACACAGGGCCAAGCCGCTGCGCCAGGATGTGGTCAGGTCAGTGACGTTGACATGCCGGTAGCCCTCTGTCTGCTGCTGGCACCAGGTTAGGAGCTTACTGGGCCGGATATCTGACTCTGCAAGTAGAAGAACGCAGGCACTGAGACTCTGCAGGAATCTCATGCAGCCCAACCTGGATCCCCGCTCATTGCCACTGTGGCTGGTGACCAGGAAGAGTGGCCCCAAGGCAAGGGGCCAGGGCAGGGGGCCACTGGCATGGGTGCAGCCCCCTGAGGACTGCTGCTTGGGGGCCTGATCAAGAGTGTGGCAGGAGGGGAGAGGAAGCATGTTCTCTTCCAGCAGAGTCCCTGAGACTCACCGTGTCTAGGCCCTGCCAATAACATGCTCATCTAGTGGGGAAGACAGTCGCAGAGGGGGTGACAATGACACAGGGCTGTGATGGAGGGAGAAGCAGGGGGCTGTGGGAGCACAGAGCACATTTGCCTGAGTCTGCTCTGCGAGGGGAATTCTCAAAAAAAAAAAAAAATGTCAGGGGAGGTGCATTTGAGCTTGTTCTTTAAGAGCATCTAGGAACTTATCAGATGGAAGAGGGCATTCCAGGAGAACAGAAAGGGCTGTGCAGTGGCAAAGAATCTAGAAAAACCTGGTATGTTTGTGCAACACTAAAATGGTTGATTATAGTAAGCGGTTTATTACAGCAGTGGGCACGTCATGATGTGTGGACGGGATGGAGGAGTACAGCTGAGTCTGCCTAAGGAAGGAGAGGAGGCAAAGTCTGGAAAGGCACAGGTAGCCAAAGAGGTCTCTAAGCAGGAGAGCATCCTGGGCTGAGCTGGGCGCTGGGAGTTCCTCACTGAACCATCGCTTCTCCCTGTGTTGAGCACCGGCCCTGTGCCCAGCGCACTGCTAAGCCAGGATGATCGGGAAAAGGGTGAAATGCATTAAGCTCATCATCTACTTATGGGGACAGGACCTCCATGCTGGAAACAACAGGAAAATAAGAACAAGTCCCAGTGAAGTAATCTCCAGTTCACGTTTACTCTGTGAAGCTCTCAACACATACTAGCTCTTTCATCCTCACGGTGATTCTGTGGGCAGGGGTTCTCTTGGTCTTACAGAGGAGGAAACTGGAGTACGAAGAGGAGAGGTGCCTGCCCACGGTCACACAGGTAAAGGGGCAGAGCCAGGCTGGCTGCAGAGTCTGTGTCACCATGGTCACGGAGCAGGCCTCCTCCCCTCCAAGCCCTCCCAGTCACCTATCAGGGTCCCAGGAGAGCCGCTCACCCCTCCTGGAGAGGCTGACAGATCTCCTCACTGAGCCCAGTCTCTCGAGAGGGTAGCGGTCCAGCTCCTTAGTGATGTACAAATGCTTCACCTATGAGCAAGAGAGACAACATGCTTGCCCACCAGTTTTCCTCCAAATTCTAGTCTCAGGGCCCCTAAACTTGACCCACCCCCAACTCAGTGCCTGCCACCATTTTCCTCTATTGCTGGGAGGCATGACCTTCAGCAAGGGAACCTGGCAACTTGAGTCATAGAGCAATGGGCCTCAATCCCGCACCCAAATGCAGGCAAACTAAGTGGGAATGTGTGTAGCTAATTTGTATGTATGCAATTAGCTAATTTTAAACGTTCACACAATTTTCTGTTCTGTTGACCAAAGAGGTTGAGAGTTTGGTGGCTCTAAATCAGTGGAAGCAGAAATGGACTCCAGGACCATGGGTGGTGTGCAGAGAGCATATTTGGCCAAGTAGATTATTTGAGACAGGTAAGATCAGCAATGCACATGCATAGTGACAAATTAATATATATAAATATATGCACATATGCATCTCTCTCTCTCTCCACATATGGATTTTAGCTCTGTCCTGTGGGCTAGAAAGAATGCTGACTCAACTGGGGAGAGGAGCTGGTGCCACCAGTAGACCAGCAGGCCTTGGTGGCCTCTGTCCAGGGAATGGGCCAAAATCTTATGTGACCCCCCTCCCCACTGCCTCTTCCCACTGTCCGGTGCAGAGTGATTCAGACAGGCCCCAGGGATGGACTTGCCTGATGGGGCCGGACACAGTGTGAGTTGAGGTTTGGGTACCGCGTCCCTGGGTCCAACGTGTACTGCTCAAAGTTCTTGTTGATGTTCTCCGGGGTTGTCTGAGGTAACAGCCGGTAGAGACTTTCCCTGGAGGGAGGTGGAGCCTGGAGGTCAGGGGTCACTTTTGCCACCTCAGGCCTTGTCCCCACCCTTCCCCTCTTCCCCCTTCCTCTGGCTCAAGGGCTTCCTGGACCTGTTTGTCTAACCCTTCCCTGAAATGCCTGACACTCCTGGTTCCTAGTTCGTGAGATCTGTGAAGTGTGGGGGTCAAAGGGGCCAAGAGGAAAGGGGCGCCTGGGTAACGGGGATGCCAGGCTCCTCCCCCTGGGGAAGACGGGAGGGAGGCGGGGCTGGCAGCACCGTGGCCTGTGGTTCTGCCATAACTATGCTCAGCCACACTGCCTCCTGTGGCCTGCTCCCCATGGCCACAGGCTTCCACAGCCAAGACTGTCAGAGGCCTGTTGCCGCGCACCAGCCCTGACCTCCCCCCGTCCACCAGCTGTCACAGCCACGTGGCTGGCAGCAGGGGTCTGGGAAGAAACCCAGGATCTCAGCAGTGGGAGAGGCCTGGAAAACCAGAGAATCCAACCCCCATCCAGGACAGGAGACTCAGCACTGCCCTGGAAGATTCCCTTAAATAAACCTCTCTGGCTCTTGGGTGAATGAGCAATGCGGGGGAGCCCCAGCTGCAGGGCCAGCCAGGATGAAGATTTTTCTGTGGCATCCAGGGCTCAAGGTCCTGGCCCCTAGAGAAAGTCACTGTAAGAGTCAGATCATGATGAAGAAAGCATCCTTGGGCATGCTGATGATCAAATCGGGCCACATATGGGAAGGCAGAATAGAGGAGGCAGAGGCTCCAGGTATATCCCGCAGTCACCGAGGGGTGATCTTTCCCCCTCTCCTGACGAGTGGCCCTGCCCCCCAGTTAGGAGTCCTGCTGTCAAAGCTCACCTTTCAGCCAGCAGCTCCAGGGGCGGGGTGCCCTGGTTCCAGTTCTTCACCATCCATGCTGTGTCAAAGGCTGCCAGGAAGCCACGGGCACAGCCTGTACCCATGGGCCAAAATGGCTGCGAAAGAAAACACGCAAAATTCCAGTCGATTCTGATGACTCCCAATCTACGATCTCATTGTACCCAGAACACACTGATTACCAGTACTGTGCGGGGCACTGGAGAGACAGAGAGGTGACAGAGCAGGGACCCTGCTACCTACGAGGATTCACCACAAGCTCAAGTAATGGTAGCAGACAGTCAAATGTAAAGAGTGCTATGATGCAAGCGTAACAAAAGTGCTTTAGGTCTCAGAAAAGGTGAGACAAATTCCCATCCTGGGAGAGGGAGATGGAAATCAGAATAAGCTTCTTAAGAGTTGCACTGGCTGGGCACGGTGGCTCACGACTGTAAACCCAGCATTTTGGGAGGCCAAGGCAGGCGGATCACCTGAAGCCAGGGGTTCGAGACCAGCCTGGCCAACATAGTGAAACCCTGTCTCTACTAAAAAATACAAAAATTAGCTGGGCTTGGTGGCAGGTGCCGGTAATCCCAGCTACTCGGGAGGGTAAGACAGGAGAATGGCTTGAACTTGGGAAGAGGAGGTTGCAGTGAGCCGAGATCGCACCATTGTACTCCAGCCCAGGCAACAGAGTGGGACTCCATCTCAAAAAAAAAAAAAAAAAAAAAGAGTTGCATGAAGCTGATCTTAACAAATGGATGGGATTCTAAACCTGATCTACTTGGGAATAGCATGGGCAAAGGCATGGTAGTTGGAAAATGCTGGCACCTGATGGAAGAAGAGCCATCTGTTGTAGGTATGACATAAAGCTTGGGAGGAGGGTAGGGAGAAACCAGGCTGGGAAAGGAACTAATTATATACACGCCAATCAGCTACAAATCCGGCTACACCCGAAGCAGGAAGGCTACCGAGGACTCAGCCACAGCTCTTAGGTTCGGGTCCATGCACAATGGTGCCCAAGGACCCAGTCAGCCACGCTAAGTGCTGACTAATCTGCTCCATGAGCACCCAAAGCATGGTTTGGAATTTGACTTTTAACTTGGAAAAAATACATAATCAGTGCTTACACTAAAGAGAAAAATTTCTCCTTTCTGAACACAGCCATTTAATCTAAGGGTCCTTGCACCCTTGCAGATTTTCTGGGAAGAATTTTCAGCAGGGAAGCTATGAATGGAAAGGAGACTTTGGGGACCATGCACCTCTCCTGCACCCTACGTGATCTCAAAACCCACAAAGGGCCACCCATACGCTCTGAGAGGGATGGCCCATGTGGCCCAGGCTGGGGCTGCCTGATGTTGTACTTCATCAAAGAAGTCAGTGCAAAAGAGCCAGGAGAGAGAAGAGAAAGCTCTCCTAACTACACAGAGGTGGAACAGGCTCCTCTGAAGGCAGCAACAGGACAGGCTCTAGGGCCGGGACAGGCTCGGCAGAGTCCTGCCAATTGGCTGGGAGCCTGTCCTCTCCCCGCTGCAAAACAGCAGATAGTGCCTGCCAGGATATTAATGTGGGATCTGTCTCGCAGAGGAACGTGGGGGCTCCAAGCACAGGCGGTACCTCAAGCAAGCTGTCACCCACGAGGGCCACGAGCAGCTGGTGTGCCTGCCGCTCCCGCACCAGGGCCGCGTTCTCTGAGGCATACATGGAGGTGAAGTCAAACATGGCCACGTCGGGCTGACCATAATGGTTCATGGCAAAGTCTAAGGATGGCAGCTGGTAGTTGGTGGCAAAGTCTGCAGCTTCCCGGGCATAGGAGAGCAGGTTGTCCTGGTTCACGTTCTCCGCGCACAGCAGCATCTCTGTGTCGATGTAGTCCTGGGGAAGATGAAAACACTGTACAGCAACCAGCAACCTCCCCCTCTAAAGGGCTAGCCTTCAGACACACGTCTTGGCAAAAAAAGGACTTGGAATGGGTCTACACAGTGGGGCGAATCAAAACAGAAATAGAAAAATCAGGGTCAAGGGAATAAAAAGGAAATAAGTCAGCCAGCTGTGAGGGTTAACATGGTTGTGATTAAGCATCAAATTTGGCTTTGAGCTTCCTGGCATCCAGGGCAAAAGGGAAATGTGATATGCCACAGAGCTTTCCTTATCAGAAAGAAGGAAGCATAGAAATTCCTCAGGGCAGGCAATTTTTTCCTGGCATTAAATTCTAAAAGATCTGTCTCACATAGGAATTTCAACGGGGTATGCTGAGAGTTGTAATGAACAGTATGCTTGATAATGGTCTTGGAGCAAACAAGCAGCCCATTTCATAGCGCTGGTTCTCATGAGAACTTCCAGTACAATTATGAGACAAAGGAACCATCAGAAACTGTGGTTTTATAATAAATTCAGCTAAGCTGATGTGATCAGATATGCCAAGTTTAGGGGTCAAACAAGACCAGAAAAGAAAATGGGTACGCTCTCATGCTTCCTCTCCAGAATCAGTCACCCCTTTACTTGATGGGCAGAGGGATCCCCAGAGCTTGGCTTTGCTTTTGGTGCTAATTGTTATGCCTCTCTAATCAGGGGTGCAGAGCCCTGAGCTGCGAGGACTGGAAATCCATCCTGGAGGGACACTAGCGATGAACCACAGGATGTCAGGATCGAAGACAGCCAACAAGGTTAGTGTATCCCCCGAGTCCAAGCTGCTCACCGTGTGGCTAAAGAAACTCAAAGACCACCCTTCTCAAAGGTGACACAAAAAGTACAGACACCTGGAGAGGGAGGGGACCAGTGTGTAACATGAACACAGGCTTAAGGGTCAGGGAGAGCCACGGGTCAAAGTCTACTTCTGCTGTTTACTGACTAAATCTGGGCAAGTTATTTAACTTTTCAGAGTCTCCGCCCTCTCTTTGTAGAAAGGGAATATCAAACCCTACATCACAGAGCCATGTGAGGGATAGAATGAGTGTTCACATGAAATCCCTAGCCCCATGTGGGAAGTGATAGTTGAATGGGAATTCCTGTCCCCTGTAATTCACCCTGGCCTCGGATGGCTTATGACGAAGTGTATCCTGGACCCAACCAAGGCATCCTCAATTACAAAGGTCTTGACAGTCACAGAGCGCTGGATCTACAGCCAGAGTGACCCCTGTCTCAATTTCCTGAGTAGCCATGATTTCAAATATCCTGTTCTGGAAACTCATATTTCCACATCCAGACCACACCTCCCAAACTGCATCCAGCACTGGTCCAAGAGCTCTTTGTCAGGTCCTGGTGTCCGGGTTGAAATTCCTGTTATTTGCTTCCTTTCTGATTCATGTTACTATAGTCACATGATCACTTCTCTCTCTGAAGGCGTGGAGGTGAGGTGGGGGAAGAGAGAAGAGAGAGGTCTCAAACACCCGTGCCCAAAACACGCCCCAAGCATCCCTAAGATGGAGTGGATAACACAATGAAGATGGTGCCTGGCATGGGTGCCTCATGCAGGAGAGTGAGGACCCAGCAATGGGAAGACACTAGGCTAGAGCTGGCTAGAAGACTACTGGCCTGGGGCTGCTGTGGGGTCTCTTAGTGGCTGGAGGGTCCTAGATGAGTCGGGGGATAGAAGAAGGAGCAGAACCATAGGGAGCATAGAACCAGATGAGGACAAGGACAGGAGGACAGAATCCCAGCTCACACATGTGTAGGCCAGCAGAGGCAGGGGCCCAGGGAAGCCCTGGGATGGGACATCCTCCTTGTAGGGGAAGAGAAAGATGGACACAGCTCAGAGCCCAGAGGCACGGCTGCTTGAAGAGAAACTTGACTCTTCCTTCAGCAGCCATGGAAAGAAGCCCAGAGGTCAGCTGGAATCGGTGGGGAAGCAGGAAAACCTCTTGTCCAGAGGCCAGTGAGTCATTCAACAAACACTTGGCACCTTCCGTGTGGCCATAGGGAAATGCGGATCCATGTAGGGAGAGGAAAACGGAAAACTTGTCATTTCCCCAGGGAGCAAGAGAAGAATGTAAATTTAAGTGGCTCAGGGAAGATGGGTCGGGAACTTGGCTGGACATCTGGAGGCTCAGGCTATAGCTCTTGTTCCAATCAGGTGTCCAGCCTGTGGCCTCCAATTTCCCTCCCATCTTGTACCTTGAAGCCCCTCAGTACCAGCTCAGGAGCTGCTCCCAGGGGTCTCTGAAGGAGAAAGAAGGGCCTTGGTGAAGACAAGCATGGGCCTAGAGGGGCTTTGCCAACTGCCAGGGAAGCGAGTTGCCATGAGCAGTGTGTCGCTGCCTGGGCAAACACCCTGGATGACCTGAGGGTGACCTTAGCATCCCAGGAGGCCAGGGTGCTCTGCCAGCACAACACAAAACCCGTCAAACTTTGCCTGCCTGCCTAGCCCCTCTTCCGCAAAGGTGCCCACTACCCCTGCACCCCCGCACCCCACAGTGGTCCTGCTCTATCTGATACAGTTTCAGACTAAGGCGGCAACTTCAGGAGGGATGCCTGTGAGGCAGAGGGAAGAAGGGGCCGCCGCCGCTCCCAGACGGACGGCCAGCTGAAGCCCGTTGCCCACCCATCTGCTGGCGTGCTCAGCCCACCTCGCCAAGCCCACATTCACAGCCTCCGTCCCCAACTCCGGCTCTCAGCAAAGACCTGAGGAAGTGGAGGAGGCCCTCGGGACGACCGGGTTACTAACGCCGCCCGGCCAGCTGCCAGCACACGCAGGAGAGAAGCTAGGCACGTCCTTCTCTGACAAGCAGCGATGGATGGCCACCGTGCTGCCCGGGCTCCAGGCCGACACCCAGACAGCAGGCTGACCTTGGGCTGCACGATCCTTGTCTTGAGGTTGTAGCAGCAGTGGTGACAACAGCAGCAACAACAGGGGCTCTGGAAGGGCTGCACACCTGACCGAAGAAGCCTCCAGTCAGGGGCCGCTACTCCATGTGTTTCTTCCCTCAAAACACTGCCCTGTGTTTAAGCATGAAGTTGCAAAGCCACGAAGCAGAGGCCAGAGGCCAGCAGGTCAAAAAAGCCGGTATGCAAACAAGGCTGAGAAGTTACAGAGGGAGTCTAGGAACCCACCATCGGCCAGGCACTGTGCCAGGCGCTCGGTATGTATCTTCTATTTGCTCCTTCCAAGAACCCTTTCAGGCAGAAACTATCATTCCTCTTTTGTAGGTGAGAAGACTGAGGTTCAGAAGGATGAACAGTTTGCCCACGGTCTGGAGTTGGTACGTGGCAGAGTCAAGATGCAGATGGGGTCTTTTTGACTGCGTGAATGGCGACCCTTGCCCCACATCATGACAAGGGTCCACAGTATGAAATTCACAAGTCAAAGCAGGTCTACGTCTCATTAGGACAAGGAGCCCCCATCTGCCTACAAATGGCATGTGGCCTCCCAGAGAGGAGGCAAGGCTGGATGAGACTTGGAAAGGAAAAGACTCAGTCTATCCACATTAACACCTAGTAAAGGTCTCAAAGCAGCACACGCCCCTCGGCAGAAAATTATCTGTGCGCATTGGCAGGGGCTCCCTTATCCACCACTCACGTAACACCAGGAGAAAGAAGGGTGAGAGTGGGTGGCACCTTCCCCCCTTTTTGCCTCGCTCTGTTTCTGGCAGGACTACATCTGCTTTCACACCTGCTGATGCCACCAGCCTAGGGGGCAAAGTTGGGAAATCGCAGCTAAGAGGTACATACATTAATGATGACACCTTTGTCCAGCAGGCTCTGCTTCTTGGCTGTCATGACAAAATAGTGGGTGCAGTCCTTGTAGTAAACAATGTTCTCAAGATCTATGCCTGAAACGAGAAGCATTCACAGACTCGGTGTTACGTTCTCGGCCCAACTGTGCACCAGAAACTGTACTCTGCCTCATTGGTCTTGTTATTTATCTGCAGAATATTCATGTTAGACCAGTTTTTTAAGGCATACAAGCCTGGAAAAGATAAAACAGAGTATTAGAATCTACCCAAGTCACAGTAGCTAGCTTCTACAGTTCCATTGAGGCATTATTCCTATTAAAACTCACAATGGGGCCAGGTGTGGTGGCTCACATCTGTAATCCCAGCACTTTGGGAGGCCGAGGGGGGCGGATCACCTGAGGTCAGGAGTTCAAGACCAGCCTGGCCAACCTGGTAAACCTCATCTCTACTAAAAAGTTAGCTGGGCGGCCGGGCGCGGTGGCTCAAGCCTGTAATCTCAGCACTTTGGGAGGCCGAGATGGGTGGATCACAAGGTCGAGAGATCGAGACCATCCTGGTCAACATGGTGAAACCCCGTCTCTACTAAAAATACAAAAAATTAGCTGGGCGTGGTGGCGCGTGCCTGTAATCCCAGCTACTTAGGAGGCTGAGGCAGGAGAATTGCCTGAGCCCAGGAGGCGGAGGTTGCGGTGAGCCGAGATCACGCCATTGCACTCCAGCCTGGGTAACAAGAGCGAAACTCTGTCTAGAAAAAAAAAAAAAAAAAAAAAAAAAAAAAAAAAAAAAATTAGCTGGGCATGGTGGCGGGCACCTGTAATCCCAGATAAGGCAGGAGAATCAATTGAACCCAGGAGGCAGAGGTTGCAGTGAGGCGACATGGCGCCATTGCACTCCAGCCTGGGCAACAGAGCAAGACTCTGTCTCAAAAAAAAAACACAAACAAAAAACCCCAAAAACCACACACAAAAAACTCACAACGTCTGTAGGATGTAGGAGTTGTGGGCCAGTATATACAAGTTAGAGCCGTGTAATTGTGCAGAAAAGCCAAGTGCCGGCCATGGCCACGGAAGCTGTCCACTGTGCCCTCCGTGTGGCCACAGCTGCATAGAGCTGAGGGAATTCTCCAATGACTATGCCAAGGGATATTTCTACATTCCCCTGCTTATATGTGAAAACCCAAGTGCAGCGGTGGAAACAACTCAGGTAAGAAGGCTGGGCTGTATCTTATTGTGCTTTCCACCAATCACAGACATTTTATACACTAAGCTCCTACATTTCAAACCATGCTGTGCAATGAGAGCTTAGCTCCATGGTTCTCAAAGGGAGGTCCCCAGCCAACAGCATCAGCATCACCTGAGAACATATTAGAAATTAGAAACGCAAATTATCAGGTTCCTTCTCCAGACCTACTGAATCAGAAACCCTGGAAATAGGGCCAGCACGCTGTGTTTTAACAAGCTCTAGGTGATGCCAATTCACACTCAAGTTTAAGCCTGACTGGCTTATTTGAAGGGAGAGAGAGGAATAGACACATGGAGACATATCAGCATTTAACATGAGGCGTGCTGGGTAACCATAGGAACACCTTCATTACAGTGAAATAGGAAACAGCCATCAACGCCGAGGGCCCCTGGGAGAATCAGGAAGTTCACAGCTGTCACTGTGTGAGGGCACTGTTGTGAAACAACGGCTGAAGGTGAAAACCACAGCAAAGTTTAAAGGAAGTTCACTGAAACGTGGAAAAACACACTCCATGTCCTGCTCTCATTTATTTTTAGTGGCTCAAGTATTTACTTTCTTGATTTTTTAGGGAAAGGGAGGATTGAAGGATTCTCAAATCATTCCAAAGGACATCACAGGCTGGCAGGAAATATTCAAGCTTTTAACGAAATAATGCAACAGTGGGTGAAACTTGGAGGGCCGTGCAGTGGGCGCACACCCTCCTGGCCAGTGAGAGGCACAATCTCGCTCAATAGCTAATGCCATTCCTAGAAAATCACCTTGGCTGAGTGCAGTAGCTCACACCTATAATCCCAGCACTTTGGGAGGTGGAGGCGGGGCAGATAACCTGAGGTCAGGAGTTTAAGACCAGACTGACCAACATGGAGAAACCCAGTCTCTACTAAAAATACAAAAAATTAGCTAGGTGTGGTGGAGCATGCCTGTAATACCAGCTACTTGGGAGGCTGAGGCAAGAGAATCACTTGAACCCAGGAGGTGGAGGTGGCCATGAGCCGAGATCGTGCCATTGCACTCCAGCCTGGGGACAAGAGCAAAACTCTGTCTCAAAAACAAACAAAAAAAGATCTTAAAGAAATAGTTTAACAGAAGCATTGTCATCTGTAATAGTAAATAACTGGAAGCCCTAAATTAGAGGTCAGCAAGTTTGTGTGTGTGTGTGTGTGTGATGGACCAGCTAGGAACTGGCCTGCAGGTCATATGGTCTCTTTCACAACCTCTCACGGTGGAAGCAGCCATGGAGAGTAATATAAAGAAATGGGCATGGTTAGATGACAATCAGCCTTTATTGACGGATACTGAAATTTGAATTTTAAATAATTTTCATGTGTCACAAAATATTCTTTTGATGGTTTTCTTCAGCCTCTCTATAAAACCATTCTTAGCTCAATGGCAATATGGAACCATGTGGCCAGTTTGCTAATCCCTGGTTTCAGTGCTCAGGCAATGACAATACATCAATTTGATGAGACATTCCACAGTCCCTAAAAGTGACCACCAGGAGGACAATGTATGAAATGTGACGCTGAATAAGAAAAGCTGAATAAAGAGTGTGGATACCATGATTCAAGCTACAGTCACGTAACAAGCAAGCACGCCTGTGGAAAATTACGGAAAAGGAGTAGGTGAGTCTGACACCTATTCCCGTGTGAGGTGATCAGATTGTGAATGATTTATTGTCCATATAAAGATTTGATTTAATGTTGTTACACTGCTTTTCAAGGAGAAATACGTGTTTTTAATCAGGTTAAAAAGAAAGGAAAAATATGTGGAATTTACTTAACTGGAGACAGACGACTCACCCCCCTTTCCCCTCACCCTGTTTTTTTTTTCTCTAGGGTCCCTGTTACCACCTGATGTGTCACTGATTTATTTGTGTATTGACTGTCTATTGCCATAGAATATAAGCCCAGGAGGGAGGGATTTTGTTTTGCACACTGCTCATTCTCAGGCTCTAGAACATCTGGCACATAGCAGGCATTCAATCAAGATTAGTTGAGTGAATAAATCAATACCTCCTATCCCAGGCGTCCCCAAACTTTTTACACAGGGGGCCAGTTCACTGTCCCTCAGACCGTTGGAGGGCCGCCACATACTGTGCTCCTCTCACTGACCGCCAATGAAAGAGGTGCCCCTTCCTGAAGTGCGGCGGGGGGGCCGGATAAATGGCCTCAGGGGGCCGCATGCGGCCCGCGGGCCGTAGTTTGGGGACACCTGTCCTATCCTCTAGGCCCACGGCGGGGTGACAACTGGTGCCAGTACAGGTCACGTTCCTGGGCATACCCAGACTTCCCACAGCACGAAAGCACCCGGGCCCCTTTAGGAACCGTCTATAGGTTACTGGCTCCCTCCCCAGCATTCCCTAAATATCATGCTGACCTCAGGTAACAGTGCCGGCCACCTGCCTTAGGATGGTTTATGCAGAGATCCCTTAATGGACAGGGAGCCGCTGTGAGAGGAATCGTGTCAGCCTCCACTTTGAACTGCACAACTCTGAGAATTGGCATGCAATGAGCACTCAGTCAATGTCCGCTAGCTTCTATCATGTACAACTTCTAGAACATTCCTTCAACAATCTCTCTTGTCCCAGAAGGAGTCCTGTCCATTGTTATCACTATCCTAGGGAAATCTCTGCTTCCACCCAATCAGAGTGAGTCCCTCCAGGCCCAAGAGCCCAGAAAGCCAGGACACGTCTCTGCACACTTTAGAAGCTGAGACGTTGGCCTGGTTGGGAGAGTGAAGGTCCCACCTGTTTCTTCTTTAAGGTCCTGAAAAAATTTCTGATTGAAGATGAAAGCCACACCGCTAATCTCTTCCACCTTGGCCTCCGCTGTGCTGTTTCTGTTTATGAAGTTGGCGGTGATGGCAATCGCCAGCTTCCCACGGAATTCTTTTCTTCTGAACCCTGCATGAGGAGAAGGGAAAAAGCGGGTCTATCTTCTGGATTTGGTGTGAAAACCGGAAATGGTTATAGGGAGAGCTTTTCCAGATGCCTCCCAGGCCAGTGAAACCAGGATTCTGGATGTCTAGAGGACAGGAGCAGGCAGAAATGCCAAGGTTTGCTCCCAAAGCCTTTAAAAGTCAGTGGGACAGTGTCCTTTTCTAAAATCTATAGGACCCGATTCAACAAACAAAAGGCCACAGCCATCCTTCCCAACAGGGCGCACCCTTTTAAGGATGTGTCAAGCACTGTTGCTAGATACACTCATGAGAGACCCACATGCACTTTGAATTTACAGGATGAAAACTACTGTGTTAGCATTTCTCATGGTTCCTCCCCAGGCCCCGCCCCAACCCCCTTGAAAAGTAGATTACATTGAATTCCTGCAGGACAGGGATTCTAACAGATTTTCTTTGCATCTCCCGTTTTCTGGGTCGTATTATGTTGCCCGCAACACACACACGCAGAAATTCATGTGTTGAAATCCTAACCCCAGGACCTCAGTATGTGAACCTATTGGAAATAGTATCATTGCAGGTGTCACTAGTTAAGAGGAGGTCACACTGGAGTAGGGTGGGGCCTTCCTTACTCCAATATGACTGGTGTCCTTTGAAAAGGGGAAAATAGTGCACCAGTTCCCAGTAACTGACACTTAGTACATCTGCAATGCACTAAGTACTTAGTACATCTGCAATGCACTAATGTATAAATGAACAGATGGAATTCTAACTCTCTTTTTTTTTTTTTTATTTTTGAGACAGGGTCTCACTCTGCTGCCCAGGCTGGAGTGCAGTGGTGCCAATCATGGCTCACTGCAGCCTCAACCTCCCAGGCTCAAGCGATCCTCCCTCCCACTTTGGCCGGCAAGTGGCTGGGACAACAGGCATGTGCCACCATGCTGGCTTATTTATTTTAACTGTTTGTGGAGACAGGGTTTCATCATGTTGCCCAGGCTTAGCACTCTAATTCTTGTTTTCCATGATTTACATTAAAATTGCTCTTGAAGGGTAGTGCCATGGAGGACCCCAGCAGGTGGTATAGGGTAAACACACCGACAGCAATAACTGAAGTATACCTTTGACCCTGTATGGCTGATGCCCCTGAATGTGTGTTTTGAGCTAGGGAATCCAAGAGTGGCCAACCCTGAGACTTATTCCTTGTTTATGAGGGACATCTGAGCTCCTGGCCCTTCCTGTGGAACATGGACCATACAGAGGGATTGAGGCCCTGAGTTTTGGGTTGAATGAAGCTTGCCAGGTGGAGGGGTTAAGTGAAAATGCTGTCTACACTGCATGCTGTTTGCAAGCAGTTGTGGTTTTCCTGCCCAGGCTGCCACCCCTGGGCTGTGAGGTTGTGCTGTACAGCCACTGGACCAAAATTATTTATTTCTGTAGGTAAGGTGGGTCTCGTGTCCAGCCCACTGCCCCTGGATTCTCCCCTGTGAGTCCCTAATAAAACCCATGTCTCCTTTGCTGGCTCTGGGTCTCTTCTTTGGCCTCTGGAACTTGATACCTTCCCTATTGAGGTTAACAGGGGTTCTGCACAACAGATGCTCACTTTTCAAAAGTGTGTCTCCCTCCTAGTCCCCCGTCTTGCTGGCATCTGACCCTTCCTGAGTGCCCCTGCCCCCGGCATGCTGTGTACTTTGTGTAACGCCAGGTGCCTGTCATGCAGGTGCAACCTCCAGACATCCTTTCCTCAGCCACCTTCCGGAAGGCCCTGAACATCTGCTCACCATGTACTCCAGCCTCACGCTGATTCTCAGTCATCTCTGTCAAAAATCCCTGTTAGTGACAACCTTGGGTTTCTATTCAATAGCCCTCCTCTAAGTTGTCCTTCATTAGACCTTTGCCAAAAGGGTCAGAAATGGCCATGATTCTCATCTAGCATTTCTTAGCTGGGGGTGATTTTGTTCCCAGGGGCCGCTTGGTGAAGTGTGGAGACATTTGGTTGTCATACCTGGGGGTGCTCCCAGTGTCTGCGGGGGCAGAGGCCCAGGATGCTGCTAAACACACTATAATGCACAGGGCCGTCTCTGTGACAAAGAATGGTGTGGCCCCAGACGTCAGCAGTGTTGATACTGAGAAGCCCTGCTCTAGTTATGCATTTGCATTTGGGCCTGAGTAGCTCAAATGGCTCCATCACTTCCCACCCTTCTTTCTGTGTTCATGAAATGCCCCACTATCCAAGCTGACAGTGGGTCCTGTATACTCAAATACTCTTTTTTTTTTTTTCTGAGCCAGAGTTTCACTCTGTTGCCAGGCTGCTGGAGTGCAGTGGCACGGTCTCGGCTCACCGCAACCTCTGCTTCCCAGTTTCAAACGATTTTCCTACCTCAGCCTCCCAAGTAGCTGGGACAACAGGTGCCCACCACCACGTCTAGTTAATTTTAATTTAATTTAATTTATTTATTTATTGAGACGGGGTTTCACCATGTTGGCCAGGATGGCCTCAATCTCTTGACCTCGTGGTCCGCCCGCCTCAGCCTCCCAAAGTGCTTGGATTACAGGTGTGTGCCACCACACCTGGCTTCAAATATTCTAACTTACACTTTTACCAAGTGTGCAAATTCCAACAATACTACATCCAAGTTGGTAGCTTAAGCATTCCCTGTCAGAGATTGATGACCGACAGTTGGGGAGGTGAGTATGGAAGGGGAAACAAGAGTGGCAAATGGCCCTGATTATGTGGCAGATGGGAAGGTCCTGAGCCAGGCGGCCCGCTGAGTTTTCTAAGATCAGCCCTGTTTCAGGGAGCAACTCCCATTCTCAGAGTGATGTGTTCTCTCAGTCAGGCATCTGCAGCCTGTGGCTCTTGAGGGGGCAAGCTCAAAAAGCAGAACTGCCCTAATTTAAGAGATGCCACTTGGGGCTACGTTGTTTACAACCCATGGTCTCAAATTAGCATGGTTAGTATCAATTAGTACAGCCTGTGGATGGATCAGTCTTGGTGTTGGAGTGGAGGGGATGAAAGCATTGCCTGACAATGGTGTTTCTCTCACAACCTGACAGGATCTTACCCCATGAAAGATACTATGCTTCAGCTTTAGAACTCAGAGAAGTGTGGCTTTATACCTTGACAGTTTGGCAAGACGTACCTGCCTGCCCAGCAGTGGGTGTGCTTAAAAGTTACAAAAAGAGGTGAGTTCTTCCTTCAAGTAAAGTAATAATACACTTGAAAGTAAGTGAATACTATTAATAGTATAAAAATGTTTATCTTAGCTGAAGTAAGTACAAAAGTGCTCAGCACTGGCCATGCGTGGTGGCTCATGCCTATAATTCCAGCACTTTTGGAGGCTGAGGCAAGCAGATCACGAGGTCAAGAGATCAAGACCATCCTGGTCAACATGGTGAAACCCCATCTCTATAAAAATACAAAAATTAGCTGGGCATGGTGGTGCAGGCCTGTAGTCCCAGCTACTCAGAAGGCTGAGGTGGGAGAATCTCTCAAACCCGGGAGGTGGAAGTTGCAGTGAGCTGAGATCGCGCCACTGCACTCCAGCCTGGGCAACAGAGTGAGACTTCATCTCAAAAAAAAAAAAAAAAAAAAAAAAAAGGAAAGTACTCAGCACCATGGCTGGCACATCAGGAGGCACTCAGTAATGGATGTTGATTTTTCCCCCATGGCACTTTTTATAAAACATTTTCACATACTAGTCCTTTCCCAGCCCACATGACAACACTTTGAGAGGGTTCTGCAACCCACATCTTACAGTTGAGAAAACCGAGGTTCAGATGGAATGAGATGGCTGCCCCCAACCGCCACCCAACAGGAAGATGGGCTGCTCTACCTCAAGACAGACAGGACTGTCTGCCCTCTTATCAAGACCTCCATCGAGCTCTGGCATCTGCATCTTACCCATTTCCTCTAACTCTTCCCCAATGCGCCCTCTCCTGTTCCCATCCCCCAATTTCCACTCCAAGAAGAGTCATCACCTTCCAGGGTGTTCCTGCGGCCGTCGGCACCAATGATGACATCAAACTCAAACTCCGACAGAGAGTGGTCTGCAGGGAGAAATTCTGCCCGCCAGCCAATTTCTACCAGGACAGAGAAATGAGATGAGTTGGCAGAGAGTGGTGGGAAGGGAATGATTATACCCCCTGTGTGGTGGCTGTGAGAAATGGACAGTGCAGCCAGGTGTGTGCGTCCCAGAGCGAGCCTCCAGGAGAAAGGCCTAGAGCAGTCCAGATTCACTAGCTAATCTGTTTTCCTCTGACTTGAGTGTCAGTTCCATCCAGGATGAAGTAAACCAGCAACACCAAATCCATGCCGGGTTTTGCTGGCCTCTGCTAGGAGTCTAGCCTCAAAGGTCCAGAAACTACTCTCATTTGCACGTTATTTTTCTCAACAGAGTCCACCACCTTCTCTTCACACTCTCCCATGTTCTCCAGTGCCTCTCATTGCTAAACAGACCCCAAAAGATGTGTAGGGCATAAGGAAACCAGTTTTAATTTCTATTTCATGCTCAAAATGTTCTGTTGTACAGTATACTGTCTTTTATATTTTAAAAAATTCAGGTGAAGCCTGAATAATTAAGATTTAATGTCACTAGAGGTCTGGAAAAGGTTAAGAGTAGACAGTTCCTGAATGCCAAATAGTGAATGCTGTCCTGCTACAAAAGCTAACTAAAGCCTTCCCCAAATTCTCAGATATTCTGGACAGAGGACAGGAGAAATAAGAAATGCACCCTAGGCGAGAAACTGCAAGGTCTCTGACACTAAGCTGGTCCCAAACTCAAAGCCCCTCCAAGGCAGTAGATGACTTTGATATTAAGCGAGATGCAAAGGCATCGTGAACAAACTCTTTGACCATGGTGTGTGCGTGTAAGGGACAAGAATTCAAACAAACATACTAAAAGGAAAAAGAGAAACTTTAAGACCTGCCTATACAGGCGAATATCATAGTTTACAAATGACATCTCGATATGGTTAAAAGTATTATATACCAAATAACATCTCGGACCTTATTTCACAGTTGCTGCAGAAGCTTCACTTTGCTGGATTTCAAAACGTGCCATGGGTACAAGCGCATCCACATATCCATGAGTGAAATACACACACAGCTTGTAGAACACGTGAATGAACTTCACCAAACAACCAAATCTACGTCTTCTATCCTACTTATTGATTAGATTTCCTTTACCAAAGTAGCACCCCCTTAGGACAGGGTAACGAAATTATAGGTTTAATGGCTTAATCATAAATCCCCTTGGAGCCAAAGAGCAAAGCTAAAGTCATAGCAATGGTCAAAAACAACAAAATATCCTTCACTGGAGTTGTGCCAACCAGCTCCCAATAAGGATAACTCTTTCAGAAACAGCCTCTGCAAGCAGCAAATGGGATTTCTATTTTGTAGTATCTGCTTTCTAGGCAGAAAAGGATAATTATACTGTACTTTGATTTTCTTGATCTTCAGGAGGCTCTAGAACCTTCACAAACTCCACATTCACATGGATTTCAACTCCCAGCAGCAGGGCAACCTTGAATAGAATGAGCTGTAGCTGGCGAATACCTGTTGGGCAGGAAGGAGAGAGGAACTGTCACAGCAATGCCTGAACACCACCTCTATGCAGAATGCTACATAGTCACTGCCGCTCGATGACCTTGGAGCACAGCAGCATACCACTATGGAGTCGGATTATGCACCAAGCACTCTGTTTTCTAACCTTACTCTTACAGTGGTCCTTTGGAACCATTATTATCCTCATTCCGTAGATGAGAAATTGAGGCTTAACAAGGTTAAGTGACTTGCTCAGGCAACACGGAGCAAAACTAGAATGTAGACCCACGTCTGTCCTCTTTCTAGACCCTGTTCTAGCGCTAGATGACGCCATAACAAGGGAGGCTCTGTCTTTCCAGCCTCCTTCCCCAGCTGGGCTCTGGGTTCGATGAGATGAAGATGGAAAGAGGAATAGGCAAAGAGAGAGTAAAGGGCGTTAGTGAAGTCCGTGATCAGTGACTCATTGTATGAGGCCCACACCTCAGCTCTTAAACATGCAGTGGTGAGGACTGGTTAGGAAATTCTCCCCACAAAGCGTCACGGTTCCGCATCTCCCACCCACTATTCAAAACTCCCTGTGTGAGTGGAATCTCATTTCCCTGTTTTATTTTCTGTCATTCAGCACAAATAGATATGCCTCCAAATAATTTTCTGCAGAGTGAGAAGTTTCAAACTTTCTGTGGGCCTTTCTGTACGTGGTGGGCTGGACTCATTTAACATTTATTGAGCATCTATACTATGCCAGGTGCCATGCTAGGCACAGGAGATATGGAACACATCTTCTAATGGAGGGAACAGAGGTGAACAGAGGTAAACAGAATGGGGTAAGACATGGTGGTTAGGGGAGGGTAGCAGTGGTAGAACAGGGCCTTCGTTGGGGTCCTGGAAGCCAAGAGAGGAGGGACCAAGAATATCGACTCCCACAGAGAGATGAAGGACTGTGACGGTGACAAGAGGCCAGTGAACTTGGGGTTAGGAAACTTTTGAAGACTTTCATGAAAATCTCTTTAGCACAGTGGTGGGGAAGACAGCAGACTGTGACAGAAGGAGTTTTGAATGGAAAATGTAGACCAAGTCTACGCCTTTCTTTCTCGAATAAATACCTTATGGCAAGGGAAGGTAGTGGGGGAACAACAGAGGGCTGGAGGTCCAGCATGAGGGGAGGAGCAGGAAGACTCAGTGACAGCGCAGGGGGAGAGGGAGGAAGCCAGAGGGACTGGAATCAGAAAGGAGATGCCAGCTGTGATTTGGCAGGGGGCATGAGGAAGGAATGGGTGCTGGGGCACAGGAGAGGGAAGCGGGCCCAGACCAGGAGTGCTTCGTCTTCCCCCAGCACAGGAGGGAGGCTATCTGCTAGGAATGAGGTCATGATGGTGGAGGTTTAGAATGGCCACAATGGGAACTGGAGGAAAGTGTTAACAGAGACACAGAGAACCGCTGAGTAGTGCTGAATATGATGATGCAGCTGGGGCTAGAGATATGGCTGGGCTCAACCAAACGCAATCAACTGGGCATAGAGAGCCCAGTCCACCTCCTACCATGAACCACCCTTCCAGAGGAGGCTTGGCCTCTCCTTATGGTTCTGAGGTTCCTACTCAGTCTGGTTCCAGCACACAGTAGGTGCTTAATAAATTCTCCTTTCTTGCAAGTACTGGAGCTGCTCTTGACAACGATCATTCTGACTGTCTCCATGTTATTTCAAGAGTCCCACTGGCAATACCGGATGCTGAAGGACTTCCAAGGACTAGGGGTTGAATGAAAGCCCCATCAATGAGGGCAGAGAAGGGCTTCTGACCAGGAAGCCCGTCCAACAAGCCCAGGACCCCACAAGGCTTTCTGGTACCCAGCTCTGGCTCCCAAGAGAACTTGATGAGGAAGTGGTGCTCAATACAGCGGTTCTAAATTGGTAACCAACACGCATTCTTCTGTGGGTAGGAGAGCACATCTTGAAAGCTGACATTGCAGCTCTCTAAGCAAATCCAAATTTCCACTGGACTCCTGGAATTTTCTCATCTCCAAGTGGGAATAAACTCCGGGGCCACAGCTGGTAAATTCTCCTGCGCCTGAATAAATTATACCCTATGTGACTGATAATTCTCTCCAGTTGTTCCCGCCCAAGCCGCATTCCTTTTTCCCATCACTTCTTGTCCTCATAAGAACACGGCTCTCAGGGCCCTCCTTCCAGCACCCCCACTGAGAAACATTGGCTGGGAGAAAGCAGCTCTGGATTCTGAAGTCTGGGGACCATGGCTGCTTCTCGCTCACTGTACAGCGTGGGCTGCAAAGCATTTTTCCTGAGCACTTACTATGTGCTAGGCAGAGTGCTAAGTACATCACAGACCTGACCTCATTTAATCCTCTCAGCAGGTCTAGGAGACGGAGGTTAATCACGCTTTACAGGAGAGAAAATTGAGGTTTGAAGGGGGTACAGGCTTTGCCCCGAGTCAGACAGAAATGGAAGAGACATATTTTGGACGCAAATCTGTTCAGACTCTTGAGCTTTCCTCATAGTGTTAACCTCCCTTTCATGGGTCACTATTGCTATACAATCGTCCGTAAGTATCTGCTGGAGATTACTTCCAGGACCCCCGAGTATACCAAAATCCATGCCTACTTAAGTCCTATGTTTTCCCCTGTGGAATTCAAGTATACAAAACACCAGCTTTCTATAGAGGTGGGTTTTACAAGCTGCAGGTGTTTGAATGAAAAAAACCCATGTATAAGTGGACCCTTGCAGTTCGAACCTGTGTTGTTCAGGGGTCAGCTGCATATAAAACAGCTAAGGACCACCGCAAAACTGCAAGGAGGGAGGTTGCCTTTCCCAAAGGCTGTCTGCAGAGACCCAGCCCTGAGAGCTCCAGACTTGAGGAACATCAGAGCAGAAGGGCCTCGGCACTCAACTCGCCCTACATAAGCATTCAGCGATGCCCAGGACCTGGAGTCCACGTTGTCTATTTTCCGTCCTATTCTGGCTGGAGCCCCATTATGATGTTCTCTTTCTTTTTAAAGGTCAGATTTTTAAAGCTTTGGTATGGAACCCACCAGGAAACAAGGATCCAATTGTTTCATTCCTCTGCTCTAAAATCTGCCATGGCTCCCCAGCACCACCAGCACAATGTCCAAACTCCTTTGCATGGAGGGTCTTGACTATCTGGCCTGTTAATGCTTTTGTGTGGCCCCTTCCTCCAAGCTCCTTTAGCAAGTGTGACTAGCCCTATTAAAGCACATTATTACCAACAACATCTCAGTGCACTCCTTCAGGGTGCAGACTATGCTATTTACTTCTGCCTTTGCTTCTCTATTTCACTCATTCATCCAACAGACGTTTATCAAGCATCTGCTATGAGTCAAGCACTCTTTCCTGTCCTGGAGATATTCTGGTGATTAAGGCAAGCTGCAGTCCCTGACCTCAAGCTTACAGCCTGCTGGGGGATAGCCTAGGGCCCAAGGCACAAAGCCGGCCTTTTACTAGATGTCTGTTAGTCCAATATATGGTGCCCCCAGGGACTAAGACAGACAAGCTGGGGACTCCTAGACATGAAGAGATATATCCCACCCAGGGTCAGTCCCCTCCCTTCCTGGGATATCACCATAGACTCCCACTCACTGATATGGTCGATGGAGCCAGCACAGAACTTCCCATAGAACTTCTTGGCTCCCAGGCCCCGAAGATCGTGGATGGTGAAAGGCCAGAGGTGTAGCACGTTGTTCCTGGAGAAGGTGTCCCTCTTCTCCACCACGACCACTTTGGCTCCCAGGTAGGCAAGTTCAATGGCAGTACGCAAGCCACAGGGTCCTCCTCCAACGATGAGACACTGCAGAGGTGAGAGAGGAAAGAGACTCTGAGCAATCTCTAGCATCGCAGACACGAACCCCCAGTCAGCACGGAAACTGAGGTGCAAATCCCAGTCTACCTGAACCAACCAGCAAGTGCAAGCTATGTACCTGTTAGGGCCTGTCATTCATCCACCCAATGTACCTTACCCGTGTGCCTGCCATGCACCAACCACTGTGCCAGGCCCTGTGAGGAGTGCAGAGGGAAAGGGACTTGGGGAGGAGGCGCAGTAAGATGCACGTGAGGTTCAGAGTTAAAGTGAACTGGGTTTCAGTCCCAGCTGCAGCATTTGACCACTCAGCTGCCTTCTCTGTGTGGGTCTACTACTCTCCTCACAGAGTTATTGCAAATAAGATCACTTTAAAAGCATATGGTACATCTTTGCGGTCCTGAATTAGGTAATAGCGTCTTAGATATAACAGGAAAAGTACAAACAACTAAAGAAAAAATTGACACATTGGATTTTAAAATTAAAACTTGGTGCTTCCAAGGCCACCATCAAGAAAGTGAAAAGACAACCATACGGAAGGGAGAAAATAGTTACGAATCATGTATCTGATATGGAACTTGTATCCAAAATAGATAAAGGATGTTCACAACTCAGTAATAAAAATACAAATAGCCCCGTTAAAGACTCGGCAAAGGATCTGAATAGATATTTCTTCAGAGAAGAAATGGTCATGTACTTAGTGACCCCATATACAAATGGTCACTAAGTACATGAAAAGATCCTCAACCCCATTTGCCATCAGGGAAATGCAAACTAAAGCCACGGTGAGAAATCACTTCACACCCACTAGAATGGCACGATGAGAAAGAGAACAGCAAGTGTGGGTGAGGATATGGAAAAACTGAAACCCTCAGACATTGCTGGTGGGAAAATAAATTGATACAGATACATGAAAACAGTTTGGTCATTCCTCCAAAAATTAAACATAGAGGTTTAAACCATAAGAGCCAGCAATTCTACTCCTAGATATATATATATCCAAGAGAAATGAAAACATGTTCACACAAAATCCTGTACATGAATGTTCATGGAAGCATCATTCATAATAGCCCCAAAGTAAGAACAACCCAAATGGCCACCATTGATGAGGAAACCAAATGTGGTCTATCCATACAATGGAATATTATTCAGCCATAAAAAGGAAAGAATTCTAATATATGGACAAACCTTAAAAACACTGCGCTACGTAAAAGAAACCAGACACAAAAGGACACATATTGTATTCTGTTTATATGAAATGTCCAGAATAGGCAAATCCATGGGACAGAAGTGGATTAGTGACTGCTGGGAAATGGTGGAGGGAGAATTGGGGAATGACCGCTAATGGATACAGGGTATATTTTTAAGCTGTTTTGGAATTAGATAGTGGTGATGGTTGCACAACTTTGCAAATATGCTAAAACCACTGAATTGTGTACTGTAAGAGGGTAAATGTGAATTATGTCATCATTAAAAAAGTACATGAGGAAAAAAACATATGGTACAGAGCTTGGCACATACTAGTGTAAATGGTGTCATTCTCATTGTTGAGACCTAGGCCCTATCTCCTAGAAACTCTCAGGCTACGAGTAAAATACATAACTTATATATTAAAAAAAAAAAGAAAGAAAAAGAAAAAAGAAAGAAATGCCGGGCGCGGTGGCTCACTCCTGTAATCCCAGCACTTTGGGAGGCCAAGGCGGGTGGATCACGAGGTCAAGAGATCGAGACCATCCTGGTCAACATGGTGAAACCCCATCTCTACTAAAAATACAAAAAATTAGCTGGGCATGGTGGCACATGCCTGTAATCCCAGCTACTCGGGAGGCTGAGGCAGGAGAATTGCCTGAACCCAGGAGGCGGAGGCTGCAGTGAGCTGAGATCATGCCATTGCACTCCAGCCTGGGTAACAAGAGCGAAACTCCGTCTCAAAAAAAAAAACAAAAAAAAAACACCTAGAACCTTGTGTGGCTGGTTTTATCTGGAGCCCAGAGGGAAAAGCTAATCCTGCCTCGTAAGTTGGAAAAGATTTCACAGAGGCGAGTCTTTCAAATTATTACCTTAGCCTACATTTGTTGAATACTTACTACGGGTCAAACGGTTTCAAGTGCTTTCTGTGTTTGAGCTCTTAATCTTTACAACAAATCTAAGGAACTATTACGATGCCCCTTTCACAGATGGAGAAATTGAGGCACAAAGCAGCTACTTAATTGGCTCATGCTTTTACAGATTGAAAGGGGCAGAACCAGGATTCAAACTCAGGGAGTCTCATTCCAGAGCCTACCGTGCTGGACTGCTTCTGGTTTGCCAGGAATAAAAAAGAAAAAAGAACATTTCAGCAGAGGGAACTGCCCTTTCAAAGAGAAAGAGAAAGAAATTCAAGGTGGATAGAGAGAAGGGTACTTTGGGAGAAGAGAAAGGAATGGGAGAAAAAGAGATGAGAGTTAGTCTAGAGCCAAATGGTGAAAGTCTTAAGTGCCAAAGGCATCTTTGATGGCCTTGGTCTTGTTGGCATTTGGGCCATGTGGGCAGAGGTGACAAAAGAGGATTCTGCATGAGTCTCATGCTCAGTCCTCAATGGACACCACATGCTGAAAAAGACAAGGATCCTTCCCCAGGGAAGACACACGGTGACCTAGGATAGCTGTATTGGGCAAAAGCCCTTTCATTCAAAGAAAATCTTATGAGGCATCAGTACTGCCTAAAACCAGAGGAAGATGGCAACAATCTGCCTGAAAGAATCAGAAGAAACTCTTTCCTAAGGCAGGAGTTTGCCTGGAGATCTGCCCATCCCCAGCAAGGCAACAGGCAAGGGGATCTGCACCCACTCCTCACTCCTTAACACTGCGGAGGCATCTGGAAACTGTCCTTCTGCTTGAGATCAAACCTTATCTTAAAAAGCACATTCCCCTTCCTCTAGCAAACGTTCCATCATCCAGTTATCATTCAGCTGGGCCTGCAGGGTCCCAAAAGGGAAGTGCAAACAAGCATATCAGGAGCTTCCACACCACAATCAGTGTGGCCCGCTGGTTGGAACCTTCCAGAGAGTTTGTAGACACCTAATTAAGGGAAATGAGGTCACTACTGAGATCCAGCTCCAGAGACATCAGGGAGTGAGTGGGCGTGCAAGCCCATATGCATCCTCTCTGGGTAGAGCCACCGGGAAAGAACCAAGCCCCGCTTCCCAAGCTCAGCACTACTCTTTATCTCACTCCCCAAACAGCTCCTCGTGGACATAGCCAGACAATGACCGTCATTTCAAAGCACGACTCCAAGCCCCAATACGGGTGAGGTTTGCTTTGGGGTTAAGTCTGGATTCCTGCATTTCTTTGCTGTTAGTACATCTTTTCCTGTTTGCTGAGTTCTGTCCCTTCGGGGCCAGGGATGAAGCAGGGGTGGGAGGATGTGGGGTGAACAGGGGCAGGAAAGAAGGAGGGGAGCACCCTGCATCCTTCTGTCCACCGGGCCTGACCCAGCACTGCTTCCCGGACAAGGCAGGAGATCCCCTTCCCACCAGTCAGGGGGCGGCCGTGCATTTTGCAGGCAAACAGTAGCCAGTGTACAGCTTCTGATGCTCTTGGCTAAACCTAAAATCCCATTGGCGAAAGCTCAGTTTTCCCACCATCCTGGGCCCCAGTACATATTTCGGGCCTGAAATTTCAGAGATGCCAGTCATACCGTAACCTAAAGTCAAAGCAAATACCAACGGGCCTAATTATATAAAGAGAGAAAATTCGGTACAGATGTTATCAAGGCCAGACGGATGGCTTGTTGGCAGGGCCAGGCCAGGTCTTCTCTGGATGCGCTTGTTGTGATTAACATGGGAACTCGGTGTTCTGACAAAAGGCCAAATACCATGGCAGCCACATGCCCGGGCAGAGGAGTGGGAGAGAGGAGGACTTCCCTGGCATGCCCACTGTAGATGCTCTGGATGCTGGATGTGGTCCAGACAGACCACAGATGCAAAGGGTTGTGATAACTCGACCCAAAGGAGCTCTTTCCTCAGACCCAGCCAGGTCTTACGTCCAAGGAAGGAAAACTTCTCGTTAAAACTCAGTTAGATTGCATGCTCCTGCCCGTGTTCCCATGAGCTCTGTCCTTTCTGCTTCCCCAGAACCAGCTGTGCAGGTCACAGTCATCTGTGTGTGACCCACAGTCAGTCCAGGGGCTTCTCTAAGGCCACCCCCGTCCTCTGTATTTCTGTGTGCTCAGAGCCCAGCACCAGGCCTGCCACCCAGGAGGTCTCAACGGACAGCTGACGGATGAACTCTCCACACCCTCTCCACCCACCCAGTTCTGCCCTGCCATCCACAACTGGGATGTTCAGTTCACACCAGTGGGGGTTCACGTCTGCAGATTCCCAGCCAGACTGGGGGAACCGGGGTCTGCCAAGGCCACCAGCATCATGGATATCACCATGTCTGTGTGCTCAGGTGACATAAATTATTACCCAGTGGGGAGCAGGGCAGAGCCAATGCCAGCAGGAAATCCATTGTATAGATAAGCACGACAGAGTTTCGGCCTCCACTGTTAGCACAGGGGAGAGACAAACACCCCATGGAAAAATCAGCTCTTTATCAAGAGGCAGGGATGGAGGGATGAGGACCAAGCAACCCACAGTCAGGACACAAGGACGGGGTGGCCCCAGCTCACATGGGACTCCTGCTTCTCCCCAGTGGGCCCTGCAAATACGACCCGCTTCTTGACATGGTGCATCTTCTAGCCGCCCCTCTTGCCAGCCAACAAGTGGGTCAGTGTGTCGGGGCTGTGTCAGGAATGCACAAGAGATTCAGTCCCCAGAGGGAGATGCTGAGGGGACCCAGGGCTAAGGCAGGAGGTAGCAGTCTGCAGGCTTCATTTCCACTTCTGAACCTGTCCCTGTGTTCCTTGAGAGCCATGTGTCCAGACACTGCAGCGAGGTGGAGTGCAGAAGCCAGCACTTGAGCAGGGTGTGGCGCTCTCTAGCCCGCTTCCCCACCTTGCACCTCACC